TTTATTTGATCATAAATTTATTTCATTCATTTTTTCTTTAAACTCACCTAAATTTATTTATTTAGATAAATTTCTCTTCAATTCACCTAAATTAAAACTTCTTCAATAAAAAATTTCATATATTTATTTATTTATCTAAATTCACCCCTGCATTTTTTTCTCAAATTCAATATTTTTTCTCTTCACTTTACTCAAAACTAGCTTATTTTTTGCTCGAGTGTCTCTAATATATAAAATTATACTAAAAAAGATATAAAATTTCAAAAAATAAAACAAAAAAACTAAAAGATAATTTAAAACTAAAACAAAAAACATTTATTTATTTAATTATTTAATCATCTATGTAATTTTTTGCTCTATTTATCTATTTATTTATTTATTTATTTATTCAATACTCGTTTTCTCATTTCTTACCTTACCACATTGTTAAGTCGAATTTACTTTAAACCACACCCACACCCCACTTGATAAGATTGAGTTATAGAAACATCAGAAATAATCTACTAGGTTATCGTGGTAACTTTACACACCCACACCCACACCCACTCACCCCATCCTCTAATTTAATCCACTAAGTCTAATTGCCATCTGTTGAGTCCCTTTGCTCGGACGAAACACGTGTCATGGCTGCTTATCACACTTACCCACACCCTAATTGAAGTGCTAAATCAAATTTATGTTCATTATCTAATGTAACAGCTAATGTTTGTTGATGATAACCCTAATAAAAAGGAAGAAAAAGAAAATTAAAATAGTCAGTTGAATGAAAAATTTTAAATAAACTTGTTTTTCAATAAAATGTGCAATACGTGCTCGTTGCTCTTTTGGTATGGTTGGAAGAACTTGATCGACTGTTTGAAAATCTTTACGCATAACAGCTGTTTGATATTCTAGCACAGCTAAGGATAATTCAAATGAAACGATAGACATTTCTTTATCTCCCAAATAGAGACGATTTTCATTCGAAATATAACCTAATAAATACATTACTCTAAAACAGATTAATTTAAATTAATTCAAATAAAAGAAATTGGGTGTGGCGTGTGAGTGTGGGTGTGGGCGTGGATGGGTGTGGATGTGGGTGTGGCCATGAACAAAAGGAAAACTGACTCACACACACCCACACTCCACACCCACACGCACCCACACCCACACCCACACGCACGCACACCCCACACACCCACACCCAAATAGAGATTTCACAAAAAAAAAGTTGAATTTCTTAGTTTTCGCAGAATTTTTAAAACATATAGATTTTTTGAACACTAGAAAAGAATTTTAAAAAACTAAATGATAACCGTTATAGGCCATGGTCTAACGATTCTAATGAGATAAGAAAGTTAATTCTATCTCTTGTAACAAAAAACTAGATAGGTTTATAGTAATGACCCCCGATACATATATTTAGTGCAAAGGGTCTGTTTATATCAGAAAGAATTTTTTTAGTTTTAACGACTCTAGATCTATTCGAATAACACTGTTTTACTCAGTTTTTCACGCTGATTCAGGATATAGTATTTTTAAAAAGTTCAAAGAAAAGCTGAAAAAATATTTTGTCATTTGTCTAGAAAAAAAATTTTTCATCGAAAAAAAACTTAATATTTAGTCATTCAACTTTTTCAGCGTTTTTCTCTGGCAAACAGTAATCGAATCGAAATAAAAAATATATATTTGTGATCAGCTTTTCAATCTCTATCAAACCATATATAAATAAACAAAAAAGAATTTACTGAAATTTTGCATTTTCCCTACCTTACCTATATTTTTATGTTTAAAAATAAAGACAAAATGATTTTAGAAAATTTATAAAGAAACAAAAAACAGTTTGGTAAAAATAAAAAATAATAATTCTCTCGAAAATCAAAGACCCTCATAGCTTAGGCTAATTTATGGCATAATCAAACTTTTGTGGAGCTCACATATATTTTCTTCGAAAATAGTGAGTGTAAGTTTTAAGTTCAAGTTTTGGCGGCTCCCCCTCCCACCCCTCTCCATTACAGACACTTAGCAACAGAAGCCACCATTACAGACAGGTCCCCATTACAGACTTTAGTAATTGAAAAAAACAGGCATCAGACTTTCTAGTTTTTTTGAAAAATTGATCAAGTTATAATTTTGAAAGGTAATCAACATCGTTGTTTGTGAGTTGATTAATATATGTAATAGTGTGTGAGACCCATGGTGTAAATTTCTGCGAAAAAAACGCGTTCTGAAAACGCATTTTTCCATTGCTGCGAAACGCGTTAATGCTGACCGGTTTGACGCGTTTCACATCTGCTGAAA